AAAAAAAATGTGCAAAATGATGTAAAAATAAACTTTTTAATTAAAAATAAATAAATAAATAAATAAATAACTAGGTGTGACAGAGTGATACATCCCTGAAAAACACAATAAACATATTATATATAGGACCCACCATTATCTTACATACTACCTCTAATTTAAAAGATTGAATTAAATTATATTCATTAATCTATTTTAGATACAGCACACTACTATCACTTAAGAAAAAACAAAATTGATATTTAAAGCATTTCTATAGATACTGAAGATGTATGCTTGTACCATAACCGGACCTCTACAGGCAGCAATTAAGCATACAAACTGTCAGAGGTAATTAATATACTATCCATGATGAATATTTAATTCATGTCACAATACTTATGACTGAAAACTAAACAATACCAAGAAAAAGAAAATATACTTAAATAAATGATTTCAAGTGAATATAAGGCTGAAGTAAATTCTTAGCAGTATTGATCATAAAGACAACATTATATATCAGTCACATATCCAAGGGCATGCTGTCTGCCTTGATTAGCTGCAAGCAACTAACTGTAGGCTGATTGTATTTATGCTGCTTCTCAATGGAAGTGAAGTTCATAGCTTTGCATGTGATGGCATCTTGTCAGGCTATAAATAATAATTTTGAAACATAATTTTCATCTATCACTTCTACATTTTTACTTAAGACAACATAAGAGACCTGCTTACTCAAATGCACAAATACAGTTAATATGCACTTTCCAACTTTGCATGGGAATATTTTTGTTCTCTATAATGTATATTTAAGAAGCATTGAGGATTTTAATGAAATAGATGGCACTATTTTCTAAATCATGAAAGATTACTTCAAAGTTTAATTAAAGCTCCATTTTAATTACTATATTAATTTTAAGTACATTTTATTTTGGATAACAATAAGCATGTTTAAGTAAATTTATACACACACATAGACAGAACTCAATGTACAGAGTATTACCAATCTGAAGGCTAAGTAGAAAAAAATCCACCATTCAGAGATGGCCGAGATAAAATCACAATGATTTTAATCTCTCTAACAATATTTAAAATGTCTTACAAAATCATATCTCTTTTCCTCAAAATTATGCCTTCTGGTAGAATACCAAATTAGAAAACAAATCACATCTAAAAAAGATCTTTCAGTCTAAAACATTTCCAACATATCCAAGGAGACCAAAAATTTATGACATGGGACCCAAAAATAGAAATAGCTAGGGGGGGCAGGTTTAAAAGCACACAATGCTAGAAACGAGATCACCTGACTGCAAGAATCACAAGCTCACAATAATTTAAGAGAAAACACCTATTCAGAATTTTTTTAATAAAAAAATATAAGCAATAGAATTAAGTTAAAAAGTCAAAATGTAAAGTAGATACATTTTCAGAAATGGACATAAAAATTCCATCAATACTGTTACCACTAGGAACACTATATAACCATTATGTCAACCTTCGGATTTTAATTACCTCTTTAGAAGTTTAAAGGTATTAAATTTTAGTCTTAAATTCTTTAGAAAAAAATTATCTTCCTTTGAAATATTAGGTCTAGTAATGCTTCAAGCTTTAATAGTTACTGGAATAGAAAAAGAATGTAAGTCGTTATGACCTAATTTAATCTTTTCATGCCCTAATATAGATACTAAATTCAAAACATTTTCATCTACAGAAATCAATTACTGATAATACACTGTTATTTTTCTACTGGTAAATCAAAGAAGTACTTAATCACATATTATAACAACAAAGAAAATATAATTTCAAAATCTATTTATACACTAGCTAAGGACAAATGACTTCCATTTCCACTTGAAAAAGGCAAGAGCAAAGAACATTTCCACTAGCTACTCTCAAAAATAAGGGAAATGTGGCTGTAGAAGCCAATTCAGAAATCAATTTCCTATCATCTGCTAGAATATAACTCATGCTGTGCCCCTCCAATACCTACATTTTGTCACATGTATTGCTTTCTTTGCCACCTTGATATGTACGAAGCTGTTCCATGAAACCAGCATTTGGACATATGGAAGGCCTTGCATTTTTCACCAAAGAAAAAGCACTGGTAAAGGAGATGTCTTCTGAATTCATCAAGAAGCCTATTACAATGGCAGCAGCCCTGGAAACTCCTGCATTACAATGAACAAGAACTACTCCATTCTGCAAAAAGGTCAAACAAAAATCATTATTCACTTACGCAGGATTATTAAATTGATAGCACATCCTACACCAAACTTATAAAATAAAAATACTCATCTTATCAATTTGTTCAATTTATCAAAACACTTTGAAGATATATTTTATTCTCTAAAACACTATTATTAAGCTGAAGTAATTCAGTAATGTACACATAACAACATGTAACCTAATTGTTACATGTTCATAAGTGAGAGGAAAAAATGCAAGGATCATGGAAATAGAAGTAAAACCATAACAGTAAGCTCAAGAGAAAGCCAAAGACACTTCAGGTACACTGTGCTCCCAAAAAGAAACAGTCTACTGTTTTAAAAATCTATGTACACAATGATTTGCAAGGAAAAAGTATTCTACCCTTGGATCTACTTTATCCTGGAGGGAAGGAACAGTTATGAGGTAGTAAATGAGGACACGAAGAGCCTGAAACAATGTTAAGCGGAAAGGGTAATTAGATACCAGCATGAGGTCAAGAAATAAAATCGCTTCAGGTAACTTGCAAATGATACCTTAAAAGTGAAAAGGGACACAGAGCAAGGGTAGTGTGGATGGGGCAATATTGCATTAATAATGACCATGCAGAGCTGGTGAACAGTGTTCTTCTAGGATGGCTTAGCTCAGGCTTTTGAAAAGTTAGTGATCTAAGTGAAATTTAGTGAGGACACATACAGAATTAGATATTTTATGTACTTCAATTCCAATTCTTTAGATTAATCAAAATAGAAAGATGGAACAAGGGAATGAGAAAACAACACTTACTAAGGAAAACTATGCCTGAGGCAGCAATAATACATTGGATTTTTTTTATTTTTGAAGGGCAATTTTCTCAGGTTCATAAATCAGTTGGAAATTGCTTTTAGTATATCTGCAAGTGAATCTTGAATTTGCAGGTGAATCTCACTTCAAGAAAGCCAAAGGATTACTAAAAATGTAAATATTTTGAAAACTCATACTAAAAAAGATAGCCTCAAGTGTTTTCTATATATATATTTGTGACTCATTTCCAAATGTTAACTGTTTCTGTACAAAGCACAGATGTACACTCCACTTATATACAGTACAAATTATTTTTCACTATTTATTGTTCCAGCAAGAGTATATAAAGCCACTAATTCTCCTGGTTTTTGTATAAATTTTATATAAAACTCATTTTGAATAAACTTTTTACTCTAGCCCATTTTTGTGAGACGAAATATTCTAAAATTATAAGAGCTGGCTGAAACTGCTAATCAACTTCTTTTTACTTAAAACAAATTTGATATTCCAAAGAAAACTAAATAAGAGCCTTCAATGCCATTTTTAATATTTTCTGACTATATTCTAGTCATTTTGTCTGATCCATACATATAACTTTGAAAGTGAAAGCAGCTTTATGTTCAGTGTTACACACAGTACAGCCAGTTTCAGTGAGTGTTTAATAATGTTAATATGTTCTTCTTTCTTATATTCTTTACAAAAAAGTCACTTTTCTGTTGGTTTTTACAATCTTGAATTTATCTATTTATATTTTTATTATTCCATTGGGTATCACATAATCCTTGAAAGTATTTCCACGAGAATTACTGGCTTAATATTCTCTTGCTAGAACAATAGTGACAAATTATTCGTAAAGCAATTTTTCTTGGAACTTGCTGATCTCTGCTGGAAGCTTTTTGTTCCCTTCTTGATCAGGTTACCTCAGGCTCTACCTCTCTCTGAGTCAGATAAAGACAAGAGAAATATCTTGGTCATCTCTGCATGCATACTACATCATACAATTCTTGGCACATAGTAAATATTCCACAAGAGTTTGCCAAGTGAGTAAATTAGCTTAATTCTTCAATTCTGAGAGAGTTTTGTCAAAAATTCAAGTCACCATTTTGTTAAGGCCAGAGAATAAATATTATATTTCTCTTTTATACAGTTTGTTTTGTTTTCATATTGTTATGAATGAATAGTTATTTAACTAGACTACAAGCTCCTTGAGGACAGCATACCCCTCATATCTTCTCAGAATAAGTAACTGATATTTGTTGACAAATTAATTGGAGACCACATTGAAAATAAGTCCAAGCTAAAAGGCCTAGAAAAAAATATCAAACTACCAAGTGGTGTGAATAGGTTGGTTTTTATTTTACATGTATCTTTTCTATAGGTAACATGAAATAATTACATAATACTTTTAAAAAATCACATCTTCTAAAAAAATAGGATATATCACATACATGTTTTCATACTAATAAACATGAAAATAAAGGCAAAGCAAATTTAAGTCCTGAAATAAGTGTTGAGGCAATACAATAAATGCCTTTCTGTATTTCTGACAGCTTAGACAGAAACCTAACAAATGGTGATGAGGTGAAAATGGGGAAAGGACATAGAAACCAGAGTTTTGTAAGTATAGAGAGAAATGAAGAAGATAAAAACAATAAACTCGGGCCTAGAAAATTGGTTTTGAAATATGCAATTCATTGAATAATTACACTTAACAACTGTTGCATACACAATAGACAGAGTTAGGAAAAGATCTCTTCTAGAAGAAAATTCAAGAATTCTATTGCTAAAACTAAGTATGTATCACTCTAAATAAGAAAGAATTCAGGGTAAGGAAATATTGGCTGAGATTAGGATCCCAATATGACAAATAAAGCTTGAGAAATCAGGACATATTATGGAATTCTAACACATTTTCTATTCGTTACATTTTATACACCTTCTCAGATTGTCTTGGCACCTTTATCTTATGCATCCTCAGTTTGCTCCATCTCAGCTGCTACCTCTGTTGTCAACCTATTGAATTTTGTTTGCCCAAGAAGTCCTGGCTCTCCCCCAGTACTGCATTTGCGTAGACAGATATACCCTGAATTCTTGACTCTCCTGGTCATTCTGAATTTGAACAGAAAATATCAAACCACAGGACACTGTGTTTAGCTTTCAGGTGGCTGCTGAATGGGTGGAATGTTACAACCTGGAATTGTGGGATGTTACCTCTAGCTGGGTAAACTTTAGGTAGCCGAAAGTAGGTGGTGCTAAAAAGCTACACATACAAAATTTCTTCTTTTCCTCCTTCCCAGAATCTATATACTCTGTGCTCCGGATGTTTTAGAGCAAGTGAACCTCTGTCCTAGTCAGCTCATTGTGAAGTTGTGCTCAGCAGGGTAAACTCATCACCTACTATGGCTTCTCATCCTACCATGAGTTACTTTGCTTCTCACTTTCACTGCCTCAGGATGGTACCTTTCAAATGAACCTTTGGCTCATGTTTTGTTTTTTTGAAAACCCATGTGAGATGGATTTTTAATTATTATTATCCTTTCCCACATTTTACATAGCACATACACTGTTACATGCATATGGGTGATGTCTACATCTTCCCTTTACTATCTAAGGCATATGCTACATCTCCTTAGAGGAGCAGCTAATACAGAAACATTATCTTTTTTATTTTTAACATTATTTAAATGCCACAATGGAATGTTGAAATCTGGAGTCTGTAAAATTTTTCACAAAAGAACAGAGTGGCCAGTATCAGGCTCTTAAGTACCTTTCTCTTCTTTCATCCAAGTTCTGCTATTAAATCAAGTTGAATGATAAGATAGTGTTATATTTCCCAGTTAACCTAGCAAATGGCACCTAGGACAGTGCTGGGCACATAGTCACTCAGTAAATATTACTAAATGAAAGGAAAGAAGAAAAAAAAAGGGGAGGAGTGAAGGTGATCATTAGATGGAATTTAATTAAGTTGTATACTAATTTTAATGGCTCTGAGCCCTGAGGTGCTCCAGGAGAATTAACTTCTCTCTGAAAGGATTTCTACATTCCCATTTAGTGATCTCACATACATTTTGCAAGAATTATATATTGACTGAAAATATCATTTCAGAAGATAATTTTCAGTACTAGTCAACATAGAAGCCCTGGTGAAAGTGTTGTCTGGTTCCAGTACCAAAATTGAAGAATTATATTGTCTACAGGTCTTCTAAAATCAGAAATTTTATAGACAGTTTCTGATCAGCATTTCATACAATTTTAGTATGCAATATATATTTTGTTTTCAGTTTCCTAAAATTCTACTGCTAAAAATACACAGATTCACAATCCCTCACTAAGTCATGAAAATGAATGCATGTTAATCTTTATAAATACATCAGCAGGGCTACAGCAGATTGTATTCCATAGTCCACTTTATTATCTTGCAAACTGGTTAGAGGACAGATGGTTTTAAACCATCAAAGAAAATCTATGCATATACATAGGAAAATTAAGGAAGTGGTGAATTTTATCTTCTAACTTTCCTCAGACTCGCATAAGAAGATGAGAAACTGGCTTAGAATTAAAAATAAAAACTTTGTTGAGAAAAGAGAAAATGGTGAACTAAATTATTGTAGGAATAACAAAATACTGTTGGAGCAGACATCTCATAACAGTTCTTGAGATATCTGTCACAAAAAGAATAGAGACAGGGTAATGGAGTGATAATTTTAAATTTCTGTTTTTGTTGCCCTGTGAATCAAAACAAAACTTACCTTCAATTTTGCTTGTTCAATAAATTCAAAACATTCTGGAAAATAAGACAGGATATTGGTTTCAGGTAGATCCAGTATAGAAATGTTCTTATACAGAAAGTCACTGAGGAAAGCATTTTCAACTCCACATGCAACATTGAGAATATGAGTCACCTTAAAGAAAAAGAAAAATTATTTTTTTTAATTCTATGAATTATTAATAAGCCTGGTATTTTGAGATCTATAACAAGAATAATAAAAAATTTAAGGATGACTCACTTGAATGATACTTCCGCTGTGAACTCTTTTCTGACTACATCATCCTTCATCAGCAGTGCTCTCAGAACCTTTTACTATGGTACTATTACATATGGTCCTATTATAGCCTTACCACTTAGAGACTGACTCCCTCATGTAATAGAATCTGTAAGGTTAAGGACCGTGTTCAGCTTACCCACTGCTGTAAGTATTGTGACAAGTGAACTTAGCAAAGGAACTGTTTAAATCATCTCTTCAAAAAATCAGACTATCCACATAAAAATTCAAGTAGAGGAGTGTGTCAATTCACATAACTTCCCTTTTGATGATTACTTCCAACTTTCCCTTCATATTCTTTATTAATACAATGATTCTCAAGGATGGCTGCACATTAGAATCACCTGGTGAGCTTTTTAAAAATATCATTGTCACTGGGCCTCACATCCAGACATTCTGATGGATTAGTCTGGTTGAAAGGGGGGATGGTCACGAAGATTTTCTTTCATATGATCCACTTAAGCATTCAAGCATCTGTGCAATCGAACCCCTTTTGACAGTGCACCAAGCATGTGGAAGGAGCTATGTAGAAAGTCCATTAAGAGGATCCAAAAGCTAAAGAGATAAAAGATAAATGAGTCACTGTTTCCTGTCATAACAATGCCTCTCACTGTTCTAATTCTCTTATTCTTAATTTGGGACTTAAGTTTTGCCCCAGTACTTCCAAGTACTCTATAGATATTTTAAAGTATTTATCCAGCCCAGACCTACCTCTCTTGCTCCCACCACTGACAGGTATCGCTCCAGCATACCTCTGACAGGCATGGCTCCAGCATACCTCCCAGCAGCATGTCTGACTGTGCTTGGGTAGACAACTGACTGAAGATTATTGTTAGAAAAGACAGCCAGAATGATTCACAAACTTGAGACCTTCAAGATAGCCTTTTTCTATAAAGCACACCTACCAACCACCAAGCGAAAAAAATAAGTAGTTATGCAGGGAAGGACGGTGATACCAGTGGAAGAAAGGGCTGTGTCAGAGGGTATTCCATTCTGGCACAACCTCTTTGTTCTTGTGTCCCAGGGATTCCCCCTATATCATTATGCACATTCTCCTTCCTTGCTCAGGTTTCTGTAGTTTGAAACCAAAAGAGTGTTGATTAACCTACTGAGGAAACTAGGCCTCATAAAGAGAGTAATTTACTAACAGACCACTTTCTAACCTGTCTTATAAAAGAAAGAAAACAGGAAAGAACTGAAATGCATTGTTAGGAGAGATTGTCTAGGTGGCAGAAGACAGAAAGATGGGAAGAACATTTTTAGAAGGTGAAGTCTGAAATATCTTGCTTTCTCCAGTTAACTCTTATCTATGACAAGCGAGTCACTACCAATATACTCTTAGCCAGGATTATATGATTATGCCCTTAATTATATATTTTATAATGTGTATGTGCATGTTTTATATTTACAACTATATTCCGTATTCCCAAAAGACTAGGAACCAGGTCTGATCAGTTACTATATTTATATTTATACCTATATCTATATCTAGCTATAAATTGTTTTCCTTTCTCTCCCCCTATGATCACAGGATTATAGAAAAGACCAAATTAGAATCTTGGGAAAACATAATTAAAGGTAAAAGTGCTTTACAAATATTGTGGATTATGAGACTACCCAATGCCTGGTGGTTTAGCTGCCTAGAAATACAATGTGTATATGTCATCATTCAATAAAGTCATACTAAGTCACAGGTGGTGGTGGTGGTGGTGGTAGTAGTGGGGAATCTTAGCTAAAATCCATGTAGTTGTGAAGCATACTTCCAAAATGCAGTTACAGAGGTCCTAACGATGATTGCTCTTGGGATTCCCATCATATAGGGGATAATAAGACAATCTCTTTATAGAGCACTTACTATGTAATGGACAAACAAGTTATTATGCACTTAATCCTCATATTTAGGGATTATTTCTATTTTAGTAACATTTAATTTTTTGAACTGGCTTAAAAATCAAAACATTGTAAAAAGGAAATATTTTAAAATCTTGCTTTCATTCTATCTCTATCCATTCCATTATCTCCCAACCTAATAGTAATTCTTGCATATTCTTTCAGAGTATCTTTATGTAAAGATTTAATATACTCCCTTTCTTACACAAAGACAGTGTTCTCCCACAGTCTATTTAAATATGCTTTGGTGATCTTTTCATCTCATTATATAGAGAGGCTTTTTTTTTTTTTTGCACACTTTTTACAGCTATGTAGTATTCTTTACTGTGGGTGTGATATTTTTCATTTTACCAACTTCCTACTGATGGGCACTTGGATTGCTTCCATTAACTTGCTATTTTAAACAGTGCTGCAATAGATAATTTAGAATGTTTTACATTATACTTATTTTCCATGTTTATAGTGCTTTATTGGACACACACTGGTCTCAATGAGTATTTCATAAATAAAGCAACATAAAATCTTATCTAAACATTAAAATGAAATTCCTAGAAAACTTTAAGAAATGATTCTCCATGAGAGAATTTCTATTAAGTACTTAAATCCTATGTCGTCCCTTTTAAATGTGTCATGCATTTAAATCAATAGTTTCGTTTTGCAGCAGCTTTAATTTTTTTTAAGAAACTCTCTATTTCACTGCATAATTTAGCCTGTCTTCCTCCAGGCATCTAACAATTGTGTGTACACTGATAGGAAGATCTTGGTTCAGATCACCACTCTGAAACTGAATTTCAACTAGTATATCATAAGAGGAGACAGATAATAAAACATTATCAGTGAATAAATTTATCAGGCTTCTATTCATTTTTTCCCTGCAAAATATTCATTTACTAGTGTAAACAATATTTTTGAAACTTGCTCTATTTATGCTAGAAAATTGAATCTATTGGGTTTCTATTAGGAAGTGTTTTATTCTCATTCCTTTATTCAATTCCAGCACAGTATCTCTTATTGTCAGGCAGAAATTATTTTAAAAACAAGGAGAGTCAAGCTTAAACACAAGCAAGTTGACAAGTTAACATATATTTGTTAATGAGACAGTAGTTATTGCCTTGGAGAAATTAATTGCAAGTGTTTATCACATAAAATTTTCAGCTTTAAGTCAATCAAAATTTTTTCTTAGAGCTGTGGGCAACAAAGATAAGTAGAGAAGCTCACTAATCCTTTAAAAGTTTGTTTACTACAAAATAGAAACGTTAAGTGCTATGGGGGAATAACAAAGGGTTATGAGATCAGAAGGAAGGGCTAGATAACTGAACTTGTTACCCGCTGAGAGGCTTCACATTTGCTATTCTCTCAGAGTAAAGTGCTCTTCCACTGATTGAAGCACAGCTGAGTCAGTATTAAGGTCTCAGTTGAAATCTGAGACCATCAAAAAGGCCTACTATGATATATACTTTTCCTACTCATTCATTCATGGCCTTATTTTGATGCGATCAAAATCATATTCTCATGTCAGAGTATCATTATTTTAACAGGAAGGTCATTACTGCTTGCTCATTTCTGTACCTCCTATACCTAAAAAAGGGGCTTAGCATCCATTTTTCTTGTAGATGAGTAATATGGTTACATTCTTTTGTCTTTTCCAAATTGCTCCTTTTCCACCCTCCAGTAAAAATACTTGAGGGTTCATATAAACTGATTATTCCTTTTACCCCTTCTATTCCTTGGGTACCTGACTTATATGGCAGATTCCTACCCCAAGTTCTACCATTTTCCTGGGTGACATCAATTTAATTTGGGTTTATCAACTGATAAACTAATTGAAGTTTATCAAATTCATGATGGGTTTATAAGTTTCCTGACTGCCTCTTGCACTTCAATCATACTCCTATGAGGCCAATTTCCAAACTGTCCTCTTTCTAATACCATTAATTTAGGCACCCTGCTCTTATCTCTCCAGTTCTTTTAAATCAGTACAAGAACTGTAACAGGGTGGTCTCTAAGAAAAGGGGAAGTTCCAGGTTCCCTGTCCCACCCAGAAGGAGGGTGGAGCTGAACAGAGAAAAAGGAAAGAAGAGAAGAAATCAGAAGAGAAGAAAAGAAGGGAGCTGGATGGAGAACAAGGAGTCCTTAGGAAGCCACATGGAGCAGCAAGCACGTGATGAAGAAACTGTGTTTGTTTCCTGACTCTGGACTGGTTAAGGCAGATGTGGGAGATATACCTGTAGGGAGGTGACTATGGCAGTGTTTATATTGATTTTGATTTTTCTCTTCCTCCCAGAATTATCTGGTCATTTCTAAAGACCCTTTTCCATGGGTCCCGGCCAGAAGGTGCTTTAGTCTTGTGGCAGGCTTTCAGGCCTTGCTTTGGGCCAATCCCTTTTGGGTTGACTTTTGCCCACAAGGGAATGGGTAGCTTCAGGTGTTTGATTTAGAAGTTATACTTTGTGTTCCATATTGTATATTTACTGTATTAAAGTCCCTTTTCATTGAAGATTTATATGTTTTGTCTTGACAAAGCGGTTGGCAGAACCCACAGACAGGCAACCCAATTCACATTGGGGTGTCCTGTAACAGGCTGGGGTAACCTGTAACCTTACAAGTACCATTAATGCCTTCATCTTTCTATTATCTTTTTATTTTAGCTTAGCTTTACTTCCTAAGCTTACATTTCATGGTCCACCCCTCCTTTTTTATTCAGCATAGAGGACACAGCCCACCTTCCCAGCACTTGTTTGATAAAAGTTCCTTCTATATTCAGACTTCTAAGCAATCTCACCTCGCTCACTCCATCATATAGGAACTTGCACATCTTATCATCAAATTTAACTACTTTGCCTAGAGCAGCACCCACTCTGCCTTATTACAAAGAATAATGTGCTCCCACATCTTTAATTAGATTCATTCTGGTACCTGTTTGAGGTGCCTCTTTCTTGGCACTTCCTTCAATATCACTTCCAGCAGAAAAACTTCCCCACCCTCCTATACCCAATCCACCCCAACTCAACACAATCTAACAAAATATGGCTTAAGTGCACCGTTTCCTATACACTAAAATAACATGTTGCACTATCCCATCACAGAACACAATTCACTGTACTGTAGTTGTTTTTCTTATGTGCCTTTTCTCCTGCTCTGCCCTTCAATCATAAGCTTTATGTGCATAAGAACCTCTAGCATTCTTGTAAGCAGAGCATTCCAGGTATGTAAAACAGTGCTTAACAAAATAGTAGATTTATTTTGAATAAATGCTGAAGTAAGCCATAAACACATCAGTGTTGGGAGTGGAAGTGAGACAAATGGCATTAGGAAGAAGTAGTATGAGCTGGAACAAGGGCAGAGGGGAAAGTCTACAGCACAGAGAGTAACTTAAGAAACAAAAGAAGCCTTGATTCCAATGTCAGAATCATGAGGATACATGAAGAGAGGCTGAGAGAAGACAGATTACAAATCAACATATTTTAATTAAGTGTAATAATGTTCACAATCAATGATTGCCAATTAAACTCTAAATTGGACCATTAGTTTTTTTTGTAAATATAGCAATGAGAATGGTGCTAGACAACATACATGGTACCAGAAGCTTTTATTTTTACCTTATGCTTCTTCAGCATATCCAGATCATGAGCAACATCTTGTGAACCTGTAAGAAATAGCTTGTATCACTTTGAACATAAAAATAATCATTCTTTTTAAATACAATTTTATAACAATCCTATTAGTATGTAAAAAATTTACATCTTAGGAATATTCATCAAAAATATTCATCCTGTATATATCTACACATATACATATACACACATACACATATATGGGTTCTGAATATGTATGTGTGCATGTGTGTGTGTGTGTGTGTGTACACAGACTCTGAAACCCTACTTTTATGAGTTTGTACTAAAAGTCCTGTGTGTTGCAACAATTAGCATAATACAAACATCAAAATAAAAAACAAAACAAGTAAAAAAAAAATCCAAAGCTCAATAATAAGGCATTGGGTTAAATAAAAGATGGTATAATTATGTAATGAAATGTAGACAGCATTTTTAAACAATAAGTATAAAATAATATTTATGGTTTGGAAACATATTCTCAATATATTAGGTGATAAGGATGGAATACAAAATAGTATTATTCATTTTTGTAAAAATAAAACATACATACATACATATATATATATATATATATATATACACACATACACATATGCTTTAAAATGGACAGAAAGTATATAGAAGAAAATGTTAACAGTGGGATCGCAAGTAATTTCTTCTTTATGCTCACTTGTATTTTGTACAATAAGTCTCTATTTCCTTTGTAAATTATAAAAGAATATAAAAAACACACACCCATAAAATGATTTAGTGCCACTGGCTTGGGAAAACTCAGGAGCTCAGAGCAGACAATGCTGGTCTATAGAATTCCACCCACATGGTGAACACCACCAGGGTTGTAGCTTTTGTGTTTTCTTTCTATCAAAGTTAACTTTCCCACAGTTGGAAAATGATTTTAACTAATAAGCAACTTAATACGTAAGAATAAAGTGAGCTATGTAATTGAAAAAAATGTAACACTTGTTATTGAAAGATTTCAAGTATTTTACTTTCTTAGATTTTATGTCCATAAACAATGTTTTTCTTACTTCACCTATCTGGGAAATCATCCAGCTTCTATAAAGTGATTTTAGGTAAAAAATTAGCAAGTACACTAGTTGATGAATAGTTTCTTGGTAATACAAACCTCACAGAGCCCTTACTGAGTCTACATTCCACCTGTTTTATTTTAATAGTGGTCTGTTAAAATATTAACATTTATTAATTTTGGATTGTAGATACACAACTGTCTGTTTTATTGTTGTCTGCAATCTTCTATGCATTTGAAGCACTTTTTTTTTTTTTTAAATAAAAATCCTAGCCATGACTCAGGGGGAAAATGGATTGAAATAAACTAATCGAAATTTGGTGGTTACACATGCATAGCATGTTTTAAAAGTTTATTTATCTATTTAAGAGAGCAAAAAGCAATGATATATGACTTAAATGAATTTCTTTCCTTTATTTCCCACTATACTGTGATGAACATATTTATCATTTATATATAAATGCTTTGATCATTTCCATTAAACACACACACAAGCACCAAACAGAACAGGTCAATTACATTTCAGAGCTGGTGACCATATTTTGAAGATGACTCCCAATATATTGACATAAAATAAATTTAATATTCTTCAGTCCAAACAAAACGTACCTGTATATTCTGCCTTTCTGGAAAAGTAAGAAAATTACCTGAGTGTTAATAGTGTGGGGTAGCAATTTTAGTCAGCACAAATAGACTTCAGGTAATTGGCATGTGTTTTTCAACTAATATTTGGAGCATTCAGTTAAAGTTAATTCCCTCTAAATCCTAAATATAAATAACAGTTTTTCTCCAAGCTTAAGTGGTTTTGTGATGCAGTCTTGTATTAAACTCTTATTAGAAAAACACTTAGGTGGACCCAGAAGCTTATTTCACTAAAAGAAATAAACTCTGTAAATCACATACTATGATTTCAAAAAGGTACTATCCTTTTTTTTTTTTAAAGATGTATTTATTTATTCATACAGAACTGGGGTACAGGCCAGAGATGCAGGGGTGGTGAGAGGATTCACCAGAGACAGAGTGGGGAGCAGAACAGGCAGATAGACGAAGTACACTGCTGAGGGGAGCAGCGGGCGGGTCAGGAGAGGTCTGCCACGCCATGTGGTCTCCTCCGGGGGCAGGCGGGAATCGAACTCATGCGGAAGTGGCTTAAGCTTCTTTGTGCAGTGCTTTAACCCGCTGCGCCACCAGGGAGGGCCGGTACTATCCTTTTATATATTATATTAACTGACATCAGAAAACAATTATCAATTTTAAGAATTTGATGATTTTAACAATGGCTATACGAAACTATACTTAACAATGGTTAAAACTCATACAGCCAAATAGCAAGTTAATTTTGCTATATAATAATTAAAAAAATAATAAAACATGGATGCATAAAGATACAAATAAGCTTTACAGTTATATTTTATTGATACTTACAAATCACTACCATTTATTATTCTCATCAAAAATTATTATGAAAATGTTACAAATAAGTAATTAGTTTAGAAAGAATATATGTTACATATCACTAGAGTTTAGACTAACAATAAGTTCAATGTTTTGCAACCATGGCATATATATCATTAAAAAAATAGGCTACATAACATCTCCAGAATCCTGTTTCTAACTTGCAGACATATTTTAATGAAAATGTCAATATACAAATTCTGAGGTAACATGTTTAATTTACAATCATTTTCATCATTACAAAATAAACAAAAAGTTAATAACTAAAAAGGAAATACATGATATTCTAAACAGAAATGTTTTATTTAAGAAAACTCGTGGATATGCATAAAAGAGTGGATATGTATAAATGTGTAGAAGAGCATGAATTATTACAAAAGTAACAAAACGGTTGTGTAAAAATTGTACCAAACAGTTATATCAATTGAATACATTATCTGTGTCCCCAAAATATTAAGATAGCACTTTCTAGATCTCAGAAACCCACCATAACCATTATAAAGGGTCCCAAGCTTTCCACCTGGAATAGGAGATTTCAAAATGCTTCCTGTCATGATCAATATAGCAACGGGTAAGTCCACATTTTCACTATCCACAAAAAATGATACTATTTTTATCAGTCATGCTGTATTTAAGAAAATTCCTAGTGATTTTTGTTGTAAAAATACAAATTGCATTATCTAGGAAAAACATGATACCCAAGATCGTTTATCAACCCATGGTTCAAAGACCTATGTAAAATTTTTGAAATGTAGCTGCTTGCTTAAATCTATAAACTAAAGACAGACTACATTTTACAACTCTTCATTACCACAAACAAAAATTAATTTGTATGTAATACTGGGTGGAATCTATGCTATTTTAAGGTGAAGGTAGCTCTTCAAATTAACCTAGAAACAATCATCATGTCCAGAGAGA